CCATGCCACACATGCCGGACTCCGCAACATTCTCTGCACCTAGACGTCCCGTGCCAAGCAAAGAGATTGGACGGGAGATACTGGTGCTCAAGAATCGAGCAAGACTTCATACCATCGCAACAGAACTCACTGGAGCCAAAGTAGCTTTTCAAAAGATTTCAGTGGGTGGACGACAGTGTGCTAAACCTACCACTTGGTCTCTTCACGTGAGTCCGAATCTTCTTCGTTAAATGATCTGATCAGTGGTTCTTTCGCATCGCAGGTATCAACTCGCTTCCGCTTGCACCTCAGGAGCCTCAGCACCCATCCCGAACGGAAATCGCGGCACCGACCATATCGGGTTCTCAAACATCAGTGACCTTCTTCGGCGGATAAGGTAGGGGCCTTCTGGGACTAGGGGAGAACATGTCTCAATCCCTTTTCTGTGCGCCTACGCCGGTCCTCATCCGCATCAGAGCTATGAAGCTGACTCATCTCACACCTCGGCGTATCCCCTAAAGGCCTCAAGGCTCTTCTCATCCTTTGGGGATTTGATCCAGAGCTGCTGTGAAGTTCAAAGCCCTTTCATTGCTTGCCTTATCCTTCCGAGCGGGGCGTCGTCTTGCCAGTCTTACTGACAAGCAGCACCTGTAGGAGAGTCGGGAGTATGCTTGGCAGGCATGTCAGCCGATTTCAATCAGTGGCCATGCACCTCCCTGCCACATTGCGGGAAGGAGTCCGATCCAGCATCCATGAGCATCAAGGCCAGCCCTACATGGGATATTGGAACTACACCCGAGCGGGGGTGCAGATACTACCATAAACCCTACAAGCGCACCCTAACGCTACTAGTAACGCTACTAGTACGACCAAGCCTTGATCTTGATAAGCCTCACAACTCCTGTAAGCACCGGAATCAAAAAACGAAGCCCAGAAACACCGGAAAGCCCCCTGTCAGTAGGACTCCTAAACTTTACTAAACCCTAAACCCTACAGTAAACCCTAAACCCCCTGAGCCAGAAGCCCAACATCGACACCGAACCCAGCCTCGGCGCATCGCTGCCAGCGAGATCTGCTCCAAGGGGCGCAGGAAAAGGCTCTTCTCCAAGGGGTTTAGGGGGCGGGTCTTGGGTGGAGGGGGAGGGGGAAATTGACGGGTCCTTGTTTTGGTGAGGGAGGGGGGGGGGGGATCGGGGGGGAATATCTGGGAGCTGGGCTTGGAAATGCGTGGCCGCTCGTGGTCTCCTATATGCTAAGCCGAGACGATGCCAGGTCCGGACGCTGCTTTCTGGTCGGATAGAAATGTTTGCTTGCAGGCAGAAAGATGGAAAAGCCCCACATTTTGCCACATGACCATCGTCCTTAAAGAGTAGCCGAGTAGCCAAGAAGCTAAAGGGATGCAAAACGTGACTAAAACGTGTATGCAGTGGGTGAGACTTGGCTGCGCACCTCCCTGGCTAATTTGGCCCTGTCAACTCTTCGCAAGCACAGGGAAGCTAGAATCGGCCGTCACGGAGTCGATCATGTCGCTCGAAGCCGCGGCTGGACTTCGTGAAGTCCGGGATGGAGGCTGCAGCCCGCAGGGCGCCGGCAGTCGAGGCGCCGGTCTCCAGTTCGGGAAGGAGGCCCTTGGAAGAGCCCGTGCCGGCCCGCGCCCGAGCGCGAGAGGCCCGGGTAGCCTGGGTGCTGGACTCGAGCCCAGGAAGACCCGGAAGACTGGGGCTCGAGCTGGTGGCATTCAGCCGGTGGCGCGGGTAGCCTGGGAGGCCTGCATGTCTCATGGGTTGCCTGGGCTCCGGATGAGCGGACTGCCAGCGGTATGTGAGCACCTCCTGCAGTTGCACAAGGCTCAATGGATCCAACTGGCGGTGGCACACGGAGGCGATGGCATGCTCGTTATTCATGGGCTCGCCCCATCCCACTTTCCAGCTCATGGTCAGGGAAGCCCCAGCAACGCAAGTGCTTGGGGCGGCTTCGCGGGCAGCTGCTCTTGCAGGCTCAGATTAATACTCAGTGGAGGATAGTAATCTAGTTCATGAACTTGCTCCGGCCTCAAGCTAGACCTTGCTGTGCGTGCCACCAAACTAACTACTGGCGCTGAAGCCAAACAGTCATGCATGAGGTTTGCATCGGAGATGCACTCCCAGTCCCCTGAGCTCAAGCGAATCGTAAACTCGCGCACGCAGAAGTCTGCTGCCAGAGAACTGCTCTCGAAAAGCATACTGGCGCAACGTGCAACAAGGAGGAACAAGTCACCGAGCAGGATCCTTGAGGAAGAATATGTGCAGAACGCATTACCCGTCATTACCCCACTCGGCTGGAGCTCTCATGGTCCTCATAGTCGAGCATTACAGGAAGCCGGACTTGCTGCAACGAATATGTCATGGAGTCTTGACAGCAAGAGTGAGTGATGCCGAGGCAACGCCTACAGACATGTAATGATGCGAATGGCATAAGAGCCAATGAAGTTGCATGCATGGCTGTCACTGCCTTCGGCAGTCGAGGTTTCCTGTGCATGCGCATCATCTTAGCCATTGTGTTGGCCCACAGAAGCTTCAGAAGCGAGGATGGGCCGGTGTAGAAACCCATGACAACCACACTCACACGGACATGACTGCATCTTCAGCTCCTCGCGGTCATCAGCCCAACTGTTTTTGTGCGACGGATAGTCTGTGATACCCTCTTCGAACTGTTTACTGTGATCTGAAATTGTCGTAAACTGTTAAACTAGCCACTGCTGTATAGGCTACTCTTTCTGTCGAGTAGACGGATCGCACTGCACACCCTCTCGTCACCGACTTGGGCAGAGACGAAAGGCACTGCAGCACGAGCGGAACTTGTCACGTTGGACGCGCCACACGACAGAAAATCTGTACATCTCCGTGATGCAAGCCTTGCTGTCCGCTGTCTAAAGGACGAGCAGAGCACGACACCAGCCAAGGCTCACTTGCCGAACATGTGAAGGGACTTGCCCACAATAACGCAGAAAGTCAGGCTGGCGCAAACTGGAGCCAGAATGCTAGCGTGAGCTGACCCACTGCCCATGCACGGGTACTCGCGCCCAATCGTGTATCCTCACGGAAGAATACTTGCGTCAGTGGCACCACAAGTATAGTTCGCGCTGCAAGTGCTGTTCGCTATCTCGTTGTCGCTATCGTTGCCGTTGCTGATGCTGCAGCTGTTGCAGTTGTTGCTGTTCTTTCTGCCGCTGCCACCGAGTCGCTGCCGCTGCCGCTGCCGCGGCTGCCGCTGCTGCTGCCGTCGTCGTCGTCGGTGCTGGTGGTTTTGTCGTAGTCGTCGTCGTCGCCGTCGTCGTAGTAGTAGTAGTAGTAGTAATAGTAGTAGTAGTAGTAGTAGAAATTTGTGCAGTAGTAGTAGTAGTAGTAGTAGTGGTAGTCGTAGTAGT